GTCACTTGGTGGTGAATCATTTTTCATAAAGTTTTCATCAGTGGTTATGGCGTAATTTTATGTGGGATATTTCTATGGACATCTTGGATTTGTTGGGTTTTTATTGATTTTAATGCTCGGCAATTTCAATTTCATAGACATTCTTGGATATGAAATCGTCTAGGGTATTGCAATGCAATCTCAAATATGACATTTGGACTAAAGGAAATTTAGATTTAAGAAATACCACGGTGTTTCAGTTCCCATTTAACACTTGCAACTCAGCATTCCTGGTTGCATTCAGGAATATAGTATTTACGACTTCCACAGCCAAATTCTCATATTTTAGAATGATTTATTAGAGGCTGAAATATCTTACAGCTGGTTACTTAGCAATGTTAAACCACTAACTTAAACTCAGACTCAGCAAACTGATAATTATTTTGAAATTAGGGTTCGATGTATAGATATGGAATTATGTTCCGATAGTCATATATAGTATTATGATTATTGTGTATTTTGAATGCCTGCTGCGTCTCATAGTGCTGAAAGAAGCTGTCCATGTGGCAAGTTCGATGTTTCTGATAATGTTAGCGCTTGCTTTTCCACAATCTTGGTCATATAGTTATCAAAATCTTGGTGAGTAGGTTCATCATCCTGGTTTAATGCAGTCAGCGAGGGAGAAGATCGCGCAGCTGAAACATGTAATAGCTGAGTGATTGACCAGTATATACTGGACTGATAGAGGAGTGAAGATGACTGACTTCATGTCCAAATATCTTCCTAGCTAACACCTTTTTGCTCTTGATTAATATTTATTTTCGTCCAATAGAACCTTATCAGTAATAGTGAATATCAACTTTTTGTTGGAGTGGCCCGTACTCTCTGTTCTTGATGCGCATGGTTCTCGAGGATTTTAGTGTTTTATATATCAAAATGTAAAGAATCACAAATTGCCGCAGATTATTAATTAGATCTATGGCCCGCAATGACATGATCTTGGATGCAGAAAGCATCTTGGAGATTCCGATTATAAAAAAGGCAAACCCATAAAAGAAGGGCAATAATAATATGATGTCTGGGTTAGGTTGAACACTAATAAAAGAGAGCAGTTGAGGAAATTTCTGGGGTTTCTCAGGCAGACACGCCAGTGTTGAAAAGGAAAGACTCGTTGTTTGGGGCATATTTAGATATCCAAGTGACAAGCATTTAATGTTTGTTGAGTTTAGGGATTTCATTATAGTTATGAATGTGGTCAGTGGCGGAGCTACCGTCTGGTTAGGATGGACTAATGTCTATCATAAAAAATATTTCTGGATCCGCGTAATTTATTGTTGGGGCCTCACTCTCTCTCTTCTTAGCACTGTCGTTGTCTCTCTATCTGTCTGGTTATCCTCTACAGGATTTGCCACAGTTTGTTTCGTCGACCCTCTTAAATGTCGCCCGTCTCCTGGAAGAAGAAAATCTCATCCCAAAGAACAGGATAAAAATTCTAGTTTTTCATCCTTTACTATGCTCAAATAAGAGATTTCATCTTTAGAAGATTTTGTCACTCATTTACGAGTGAAAAGTAGAACTTTAAAAAAATAGTAATTAGATTTTATCATATTAATCAACTCGAGCATTTTAATCAGAATAGTTAATTACGTTAAAAGTTAAAAGATTCAATTATTCAAGAAAAAATGATGATGAATCAAATTAAAGTTTACAAATCAAATATCAAATTGGAGTATAACAGGATTGAACCATAATTTGGATTAAGTATACAAAAAGTGCCCAACTTATGTCCCTTTTTTCAGTTTAGTGTCTAACGTTTATTTCGTTCTAGTTTGGTGCCTAACGTTTCATTTTGTTTCTCAAAATTGGTCAAGACATGATGGACCTTTTAAGTTTGGTTGTTAACCCATTAAAAATGTCGCCTGGCATATTTTTAATATTAAAAAATGCCACCCTAAACCCAAAATTTTAAAAACTTTCATTTCAACCCCTAAACCTACATCGACCACCGCCTTTTGCCGTTGACGAAGCTCCACTCGACCTCCCCTCCCCCTGCGACCAAAACCCTATGACATCGTGACCGATCGAATGTTGATCGACCTTCGGAATCACGTGGGATAGCGATTTTCATTCTAGGATTCGCGAGGTATAAAACGTTGATTCGTCATCGATCGACCGTCAACCGATCACGATTTCATGAGGGTTTTGGTCGCCGAGGGGAGGGAAGGTTAGGTGGAGCTTCGTCAATGGCAAAAGATGGCTGACAATGTGAGTTTAGGGGTTGAAATGAAGGTTTTCAAAGTTTTGGGTTTATTTCAAAATTTGTGTTTTCTTTTATATATATATATATATAATTTTAATTTTTTAATTTTAAATAAAATTTTAAAATTATCAAGTTATGAAATGTGTCATTTAATGGAAAAAATTAACACTGTTGATGGCCCGGGCTCATAAATGGGTAACATTCGTAACGTTAGACATCAAATTGAAATGAAATAAACTTTAGATACTAAAATGAAAAACTAATATAGATTAGGTACCTTTTGCATACTTAATCCTCATAATTTTGACCAAACGAAGACAAGTACAAAAGGCAAGAAAGCAGAGAGGCACGTGAAGCCTAAGGTGTATCACGTGAAGTAGAGGCTGGTTTTCATCAAAATTGGGTCAGCTATATAATGCAAGGCGAGGTTTTGACTAGATATGATCCGATCCGAGGGAGGTAGAGGTGAGGGTTGTTTGTTTTTATTGTGTAAGTTCTTTAAATTATTTATGTTTGTGTCGTTTAGATATTAGGCTTCGTAGATTTTTTATTTTTTAGAAGACAGAAGCTCTTCAAACGTCTGCGCGAGCTCTTCTTAGTGCAGACTTGATTTTATGTCTTCAAAAGTCTTCAAACATCTTCAAGAACAATTATAAAATATAGTTATTTATTAAAATAATTTTAAATAATTTAATAAGGTTATTTATTTTAAAATAATTTATTTTAAAATAATTTATTATAAAATAATTTATTTTAAAATAATTTATTATAAAATAATTTATTATAAAATAATTTATTATAAAATAATTTATTATAAAATAATTTATTTTAAAATAAATTATTATAAAATATGGATTGATTTATTTTAAAATAATTTATTTTAAAATAATTTATTTTAAATAATTTATTAGTATGGATTGATTTATTTTAAAATATGGATTGATTTATTTTAAATAATTTATTAGTATAGATTGATTTATTTTAAAATATGAATTGATTTATTTTAAATAATTTATTAGTATAGATTGATTTATTTTAAAATATGGATTTATTTATTATTGTAGTTGTATGGATTGATTTATTTTAAATAATTTATTAGTATGTATTGATTTATTTTAAAATATGGATTGATTTATTTTAAATAATTTATTAGTATGGATTAATTTATTTTAAATAATTTATTTGTATGGATTGATTTATTTTAAATAATTTATTTGTATGGATTGATTTATTTTAAAATATGGATTGATTTATTATTGTAGTTGTATAGATTGATTTATTTTAAATAATTTATTAGTATGGATTGATTTATTTTAAAATATGATTGATTTATTATTGTAGTTGTATGGATTGATTTATTTTAAATAATTTATTAGTATGAATTGATTTATTTTAAATAATTTATTAGTATGAATTGATTTATTTTAAAATATGGATTGATTTATTTTAAATAATTTATTAGTATGGATTGATTTATTTTAAAATATGGATTGATTTATTTTAAATAATTTATTAGTATAGATTGATTTATTTTAAATAATTTATTTGTATAGATTGATTTATTTTAAAATATGAATTGATTTATTATTGTAGTTGTATGGATTGATTTATTTTAAATAATTTATTAGTATGAATTGATTTATTTTAAAATATGAATTGATTTATTTTAAATAATTTATTATTGTAGTTGTATGAATTATTTAAATTTAAGTATTGTAAAACTAAAATTATTTAAATCTCAATATTGTAAAATTCTTTTAAGTTTAAAAAATCAATTTATTTATATTTCAGTTCATTTTAGCAGTCTGCAGATATTAAAAAACAAACAGTCTTCTTCTTGCAAACTGCGTACTTTTGATCTACTTCTTCTACTACAAATGTCTACAAATATGATTCGTAGACTGTAGATCTTTTACCTCCGTAAAATTAATCACCACTTAAGTAGTTGATTTTAACATGGGCGACGGGTCAACGTAGGACTGTGGGTAGTCCCCCCGTTCCACCACGTGACTGGGTGTCCTAGATTCCTTGGTACTTCGGCCCCACGTTTTTTAATTATTCAATTTAAATATAAATGAAGATAACGAAAATGATCGCCACTACCTTCACTGCCATGCTTATTGTCAAATCAATTTACCATTTTGGTATGGGTTTCAACTACTTACCTACGACAATTATTAGGTTTAAATATAAAATAAGTGTATAAATTATACTATTTTTCATGAATAAGTGTTTAAAGAATTTAATGATTTATTTTAGTGTCTAATATTACAAACGATATTATTTTAGGTTTTTTATAGTTAACGGCGTTAATTTCTTCCATTAAGTAATCCGTATGATATGGTAATTTTAAAAATATAATTTTTATAAAAAAATTAAAAATATTTTATTTTCGAAAAAACCCTAATTTTTTTTTTTAAATATCCACAAACAAAACTCAAACTCTTAGAATCTCTTATTCTAGTCTCATTTACTCTAACCGTCAGTCATCTCTGACCACTTATTCATCAGTGACCAGCCACCCATATGTCGCTAACCACCCACCCATACGTCGCTAACCACCTAATGACCGATCACAAACCTTACTATCATCACAAAACTTAAAATTTTCAAATCTCTAAATTTCAATCCATGTTCCCTAAAATCTCAAATACTCAATCTATAATACCCCAAATATCATATCAATAACTATATCAAAAAGTTTTTGAAAATTTAAGATTTAATTGAATAAGTGGTAAAATATGAGAAAAATGGTTTGGAATATAGTTTAGACTAAATTGTATCAATAGATAAGTTAAGATGACATTTTGGTCTTTTGAGAGGGAAAATGAATTTAAAAATGTATTAGGGGTTTTAATTAGGAGGAAAAAGGAAAGTAAAGCATTTTTCCTACTCTTATTCTTCTCCTTTACGTTGGTATTACTCTCCTCTTTAGCATAAGGTAAACTTTTCTTAGCTAGTTCTTTCTTTAAATTATGGGCTGCTATGGTAACATTAGGTGTTATGCGAGCTTAAGGAAGGATTAAAGAAGATTAAAACAAAGTGGAGGATGTTTTATAAGAGATTTAAAGAAATGAGTTTTTAAAGGACATGTTGATATATGTGTTTTTATTGAGGTTTATTAGTAAAATTAACTTGTCAAATGATTGAACATGAGATTAGAAGCATGAGATATGGTTAAAAACATGTTTAGAAAAATGGTATGATTCTTGAGTTGAGATGTTCCATGAAGATGTTAGATGTTAAATATGGCAAAACGAAGTAAAGTTAGTTGGGTTAAGTAAAAAGGAGTTAAATAGTATTGTTGGAGGTAAAAGTATGAGATTAGAGGAGAAATTAAGTGAAATTCGAGCTGAAAAATGGTAATTCTGGGCAATGGTATCGATACTGATAGAACAATACCGATACTATAGATGTAAATAGGTAGAAATGGGAAGAACATTATCGGTATCAATGCAAGGGGCATCGACACTGATAAGGTATCAATACTAACAAAGGGAAGTATCGATACCATGGATCCAGAATGTCAAAATGGTATCGATACTGAAAGGGAGTATCGATACCGTAGTATAGTAGCATCGATATTGAGAGAAGGGTATCGACACCAGGCAACACAGAATATAGAAATAGTATCGATACTGAAAGGGGTATCGGTACTATAGTATAGAAGTATCGGTACCAGGATAGTAGTACCGATACTATTGAGCTTAAAACAGTAAAATAAGTTGAAATGGTTAAAGAAATTAAAATAATGATATTTTGAATATTCTTAAAGTATAATGTTAAGGAGTATACTAACATTGGTATGTTATGTGTACTTAATGGATACTTGTGTAGATCGGAACCAAGCTCCTGAATCTAGCAAAAAAATGGGGAAAGATAAAGTTGTTGATTAGTCAGACGTCTCTACACCTTATTAGCGGGGATTACCAGGTAAGTACCTTATTGTAAATATTTGAGATGAAGAACATTCAAAGTAAAATGTTTAAATTTATATATGTTTTATAATATTGATTATGTTATCTTTATATGTATGGAAAGAATATTAAGAATGAGTTTTAGAGTATGAACTGCTCTAAACCGAATTTATAATTAAAATGCATGAAAGGATGTATTAAGGCATGAAAGGATGCCATAATTAAAATGCATGAAATGATGCATTAAGGCATGAAAGGATGCCATAACTAAAATACATGAAAGGATAAAAGGATGTCATAATTAAAATGCATGAAATGATGCATTAAGGCATGAAAGGATACCATAACTAAAATGCATGAACGGATGCATTAAGGCATGAAAGGATGACATAATTAAAATGCATGAAATGTTGCATTAAGGCATGAAAGGATGCCATAACTAAAATGCATGAACGGATGCAATAAAGCATAAAAGGATGACATAATTAAAATGCATGAAAGAAGACATTAAGGCATGAAAGGATGCCATAACTAAAATGCATGAAATGATGCATTAAGGCATGAAAGGATGTCATAACTAAAATGCATGTAACATCCCAAATCAGGGCCAGTGACTAAATTACAAATTTTAGAAACTATGTACCTAATTTTGAAACAAGTTAAAAGTTCAAGGACTTAAATAGGAATAATTCCTTATTGGATTAAATGGTAATTATGGAAATAGTTAAGGGAGAGAATTATCCATAACATTTTCTTCCTTCTTCCTTATTCCTCTCGTTGCTCTAGCTACAATGGTAAGTTGATTTCAGCTGTTTAATTCTTGGATTTATAAGTTGGTTTTGATTCTTTGGGTATTATATAAGCATAAGGAAAGCTTATATAAGCTTAAAACATCAAGAAATGAGAATTAGAAAGGAAATTATATTAGGGCTTTAGAAATGAAATTTTGATATAAAGAGGTTTTTAAAGTTCTATGGATGAATTTGACTTGTCATTAGAAGGAAAAAAAAAAGATTGAAGCATTATAAATGAATTTAGAAAACATGGAAAGTTTGATGAAATTCTTTGATTCAAGAATTATGGTTACTTATGAAATATAATGAAGTGTTATAGTGTTATAAGAAGGTTTATATATGTATAGATAAGTTTTAAGGCATAAGGAGGGGTTAACAAATAGAATTTGGGGCTAAGTGTTAAAATTTTCGGGTGAACAAGTCTGTTCTGTGCAGGGTATACCGGTACACAATGAATGGGTACCGATACACTAAGACCAATTTTGAAGAACATCTTCATGGTGTATCGATACACTAAGGACTGTATCGATACCCCTTGAAATAAAAAACTTTGAATGTAATTTGTGTATCGATACATAGGTAGTGTACCAATACACCAGTGAAGGGATGTATCGATTCCCTATAGTGTGTATCGATACACTTCAAAGGGAAAATGGAATTAGATCTTTCTTTTAGTTTAAGAAATGAAAGATTAGAGTATGCCAAGCGAAATGTTGATATGTATATTATACGTGTGATTGTGTAGATATCAATCGAGAGCAATGTCCGGACAAAGTGTCAAGTAATAGCTATCAAGAAGTTATAAGAGATCAGTATTGAATAGTGAGGCCAGGTGAGTGCATCTTATTTTGATATGGGATTATATGGAAATTGGACTTGCGATAAGTCTATTTCCTATAATTATGGTGCATGAAGTCATAAATATAAGCATGTGAATAATATGAATTGTATGTATGCATGAGTATATGTGTTAAGATGTTCTTGTATGTGTTATATGATTTATGTGAATATACGATTATGTGATAATATGAGAATATAGTATAAGATATGTAATTATATGATCATAAGATATAAGTTAGGTGACAAAATACATGTGATACATGAAAATGAGATATATGAGAAAAGATATATGTGATGATTTAAGTGAACATATAAGATATTATATGACTATGTGATCATGTGAAAAAGAATACAAACTTATGTGATAAGCTATGTGATATGTGAACATGAATCATATGAAAATGTTCTACGAGTAAGTGAACTACGTGCCTATGTGAAATGATAAATAATAATGCCCATGTTATATGTCATGAGGGCTAGAGGTATAGTTGGCATGCCAAGAGTCGAGGGTTCCACGTGGTCTTTCGGGACAAATTCATATGCCCCTAGTGGGACCCCATACGAGTTGTGGTGACAACATAGTGCACAACCTCAATAGACTCACATATCTACAGTTCTCACATGTGTACATGGGCTAATAAAGAGATAATAGCAAATATACTATATGTGATAAGTATGTTTGGTAATATGTTATAGTAACTACCTGATGACATTTTTGTTCCTTGGTGTAGATATATACGTGTGATATGATGTGTATATGGTAAGAAAAAGGTATTAATGATGATGATAAAAATAATAATAAGGATAATGAAATTATATGTATATGTATGTAGTCATGTAGTTATGTTCTGATGCATAATACATTCTATATTTTAGGATGATAGCATAAAGTATGCATAGTAGGAATTGGTAATAATATGTTATAGTCAGTTTATTTATGCCTCACTAAGTCATCGACTTAGCGTGTGAGTGTTTCACACGTAGGTTCTGGAAATCGAGAAGAGAAACTAAGAGGAGCGAGACAAGTCAGGATTCTCCTTCCTAAAGATCATATCAGAAAAGTTTTGAATTATATGTATTTTGGCATGTAAGATAAAAGATTTGTATTAAATACGCTCTGATAAGTTTTGTAAAATCATATATTTTATAAAATAGAAATTATTTGGTTTTATTGGAAATGTCAAACTGAATTTTATTAGATTTTATCAAAGGAAATGTTTTGAACAGTCAATCTGACACCTCGGACTTGTATCCGGGTCGGGTACGGATTGGGGGTGTTACAATGCATAAAAGGATGCATTAGGACATGAAAGAATGCCATGATTAAAATATATGAACGGATGTATTAATGCATGAAAAGAGACCCTAACTGAAATTAATGAATAATTACAAAAGAAAAATGAACGAAAGAAAAGTATGTTGGACATACTAAAAATGTTTATAATGATAATATGAGAGAAGTTTGGTTTCAAATTTGAAGGACTAAATTGAAAAATAAAATAATTGTTATCAAAAAGAGGAATTGAAAGTACACATGTATTCTACTATGGTTTAGGAGCATGTGGTTCAAATTTGGTAGAAAATGGACTTAAAATGAAGGAGGAACTGAAGAAATAATGAAATCATGGACTAAATCGTAAAACTATCAAAATACTTGGTCAAATTTTTAGTTTTTCAAATAACTCGAAAATTCAATCTCAACTCGACTTCAACTTGAAAACTGAATTTATAATTCGAGTTGACTCAATTAACTTGAAATTAAAAAAATCGATTTCGAGTCTAGTTGAGTTTTGTTCACCCCTATGTGGTGGGGGAAATAAACTTGGCCGGACGACATATATTTTTAAAGATCACACAAAGCTTCAATATTTGTGGACGCCTCATTTTTCTGAACTAGAAATCTTCACATCCTCACCCCTACACCGTCTGATTTTCCATCACTTCTATTTCATAGTAATAATTTCCCCGATAACTCCTTAATCTTCATCATCAACAACAGCAAAGAACATCCTAGTTTCCAGTGCTTGATTTTATGTTCTTTCCCGGTGTTTGAGTGTTCTTTTTTTTCGGTTGGCTTAACTCATCAATGACAGAAAAACAGACCCCTGAACCAGTCCGACCGAGGATGTCATGCCACTTGTCTAATTTTCCATCCATGTACGTGTGTATGTGTGTGTGCGCGCTCGCGCAAAGCTTGTGTTTTCATGGTGTTTCTTTTGATAATTCTTGTTTGGTTCAAGGAGGGAGTTTTGCTAATATTGCAGGTGTGATCCTGATGCGGTGGAGCTGGTAATGGAAGATGGTAAAATATCGATTCGAAGTTTATCGTCCAAGAACAAGTTAAGTCGTCTGCAAACCGGGTACCAGGAGTTACGATTGCCTGAATTTTACCACGATAGTTACGATGCTGCCGACAAAGCATGCTACAATAAGCAACTCTTGGATTTAAACATTGTTGCTGCAAACAAATTCAACGTGCCCCAGCTTGAAGAGGAGATTATTCCTCAGCAAACCATGCATAACGATATGCAGGTACCTCAGTCTTGCTTCAAGCAATCTGAAGCCCGTGCACCCTTACCGACTGGGGTTGATAATTTACAAGGCAAACCCAGAACTTGTCCCACAAGAAGCAATCCTTTTGAAAAGAAAGGAAAATTCATGGAGCCTCAAAAAGAGTGGGATCCTTCTTCTTCTAGGGTTCATGGCCCATCCTCAAGCTCCGTATGTTCGCGTGGTGCTTCGAATTGCCCAATATACACTTTGCAAACTAGATATGAAGACACTGATCTCAGCGATGTATGTAAAACTATATCAAATAAGTTTTCCAGTCATCTTTAATCGATTTTGTTTATAGCTTTTCACCTTAACTTAGTTGCTTATATATGTGCAGAATAATGCAACGGAAGAAGCTCACGAGACGATAAAAGCAAAGAGAAAGAGAAAACCAGAAGTTCACAGCCTATCTGAAAAGGTAAGCTTAGAAGACAAAAAAAAAACTGCAGGCTTTTGTAGTATATTTGAAATCTGATATTTGGGTTGCAGAGACGAAGAGAGAAAATCAACAAGAAGATGCGGGCATTGCAAGAGCTCATTCCCAACTGTAATGAAGTGGATAAAGCTTCGGTGCTTGATAAGGCAATCGATTACTTGAAAACCCTTCAGTTACAAGTTCAGGTACAGCCTTCGGTCACTAAATAGAAAGAATTGCGTGTTTTATGCGTCGAATTCGACCTTAACAACAGTATTTTGGTTCAAACAGATGACGTCGATGGGAAGTAGTGGTGTTTATATGCCTCGGATGATGCTGTTACCAGCTCCGTGGATGCAACTTATAAATGCACGAGTACCTTCGGGTGGTTATTCTCCCATGTCCCCAACAATGCAAATGGCTCTAGGCTGCACCTCAGTAATGCCGGGGATCAACCAAGCTAGACTCAACATGTTTGGCCTCCCCGGTCAGGTGTTATTATCGTCCATGCCACCGTGGTGTTCACCACCTTTCGCATCGTTGGCCGCAAGATTTCCCCGACTACCGGTGCAGACCCCTGCCAATGCCGCGGCTGCTTCTTTGTCCGCATCAATGGATTCAAATCGGGCACATCAACTCAAATAGTACGTACTGAAGACGAAAGTTAGCAGATCACTTCTTAAAAGTTAAAAACAGTGATGTAGATCTCCTCGCTCGCATAAATGTTAACCATCACCACTTGCCATTTTTTAGTTTCTTCTCTTATGAATTTGAAAGTCAATTTTCATGAAATTTAAGCTGAAAATTAATAAAAACTAAAGGAAGAGGAGCATGAGTAAATGATTTATGTTGTCTTATTTCAGACATCTAACTGAAATGTAACAATGACTAATTCGTTTATCAATTCATTTGGTAATCTGATCAAAAAAAATTTAATTACAGAACTATAAAATCAAGGCTAAGCTACTGTGTTCTTTTGAAGTTCTTCCAAAACATAGTTTGGCCACTGATCCACCGCTGTTAGCTCCTACTAAAATATCGGCTATCTTATTCTGCTTCCTTCCTATATGTCGAATCTTAATCTCCCAATCTAACATAAAAGTGAATATAACGAAGAAGACATACGGAGAATTGACTTTATTACAATTCAAACACGACATATCTTGTTTGATTGTGTATCGATAAGAGATAACCAATCTAATAAACAAAATTAAAGATAAATCAATAAATTAACTAAATAAACATCAACCGAAAAACCGTATGTTCTTTCCTATTAATAATGCTTTCCAAATATTCTTTCTGAATCGGATATTCTTATCTATTTCAATGGACCCATTCATCATTCTTATTTCATATATACGTAATATTTACTTTCTTTGACATAATTGGATAACGAAATTAATATCCAATAATTTTGTTGTGGAGGGATATATGTTTCTTCCTATTGGTTGAAGCTTGGCAACTCAATTATGGGGAACCAAATATAACGGTGGCATAAACTAAACCAGGCTTTGAAATGCCAATAAAATAAATAAATAGATGCACAACCAGTTACGTTGACCCAATGCTCCTTTTAACATGGTTTACTACCTTTTTCGGGACAGTTGGGCCGGTGGATAATTGTATGGGATTTTACAATTAATTTTAGGGTAAACCTTACCTGCAATTGTCACTTTTCATTTTAATCATAATTTTTAAAATTTTGTTAATCAGATCATCCAAGTATTTAAATGTATTTCATCAAGTTACTTATCGTTAACAGTTAACAGAAGTGACAATGTGAGAGTTAATAAAATTGGTCTAATTACACATTTAATCCTTATTGCTTATATGTTTTATCAAACTGGTCATAATTTTAAATTAATTCAATATATTTAATCTTCCAATCATATGACAACACGTGTCAAATGTATATGTGTCATGACACGTGTCACAATATGATTGAATGACTTTTTCAAATTATTTTTAATATTTTAAAATTAAATAATATTTTCACTAATCATATAGTGACACATGTCAATCACTTATTTAGAGGGAAAACGAGACAAATAGACATCAAGTGTTGGGAGGATCGAATCTTTAAGTATCTTGTGCTTATCAAGCAGAACCTCAGCCGCTAGAGATATCCCAATACTTGTTACAAAAATTATAAATGTTTTATATATTATGTTTATATTATTTCAAATAATTGAAAATAAAAAACTATTGATTGGATTTGAACATTAACTTTTAACTTGGAGTGGGTGCACCTCAACTACCAAAATAAATTTTCTTTAAAATTTTTATTTTTAAAATTAAATTGTTTTCTTTTTCTTTTTATAATTATTTTTCAATTATTATATATGAATTTTATTTTTAAAATTATATTAAAATTTTATTTAACGAATCCAAGTTACAAACACAAATTCAATATATAAATTATTTTTATATTTTCATAATTATTTTTAAATGATTATATATTTAAATAAAATGAGAAATAATTTTTAAAATCCCTTTGAAGATAAAAATTTAAGATTTGAATTAGAAATTTATCTTGTGATTTGAGTTTTATTTGTAATGTTAGATTCGTTAAATGAAATTTTAATATAATTTATTTTTAAAAAATATATAATTCATATATAATAATCGAAAAATAAAAGGAAAACAATTTAATTTGAAAAATAAAAATTTTAAAGTTATACTTTTAATAGATATTAATGATATATAAATAATAGCTTAAGTACTTTTTAAATGTTTAATTTATTTTGGTAGTTAAGTGCCCCCTTTAAGTTAAAATTTCACATTCGAATCCAATCAATAACTTTTTATTTTCATTTTTTTCCATAATATAAAACATAATATATAAAACATCTATAACTTAGGTAACAAATATGGGGTTAGCTCAAGTGGCTGAGGTGTAACGTGATAAGCACAATGTCTATGATTCGATCACCCCCATAGCCTAATTCCTAGTTGTCTCATTTTCCTTTTAAACAGGTGGTGACACATGTGTTGGTGGAAATTTTATTCAATTAATAAAAAAGATATGCAATTATGTTGTGACACGTGTTATGACAATCTCACAATTTATATGTGTCGTCTTGGAGGATTAAATATATTGAATTAATTTAAAATTATGATTAATTTAATAGAATTATTTAAGTAATAAAGATTAAATGTGTAATTAGATTAATTTTATTAATTGTCACATCATCATTTCCGTTAATTATTAACGGCAAGTGGTTCGTTAATTGTTAACGACAAGTGGCTTAATTGAATATATTTAAATAGTTTGATGACCTGATTGATAAAATTTCAAAAATAGTGGTCAAAATGAAAAGGGGCAATAGTTAGGTGGTCACGAGTATAGTATTCTCATAATTTTAGTATAAACTATGTATTTAATCACTTAAATATTTTTACGGTTTCATTTTGGTAACTCAACTATTATTTTTTTCAAAGTCATAACTATAATTATGTTTTGGTCAATTACCATTAAAAAATTAACGATGATGATGATGCGTCAACACAATGAAATGCCACATCATCATTGAAAAAAATAAAAAAAAAATTAAAATTTTTCTATCTCGACACCATCAATTTTGTTAGTTTCTTAACAATATGTGATTGAAACGGAACACAAACTTAACTTTATGTGTGATTTTAAATCTTTCAAAAAAAAGTGTGATTTTAAAATAATAATAATTGAGTAATCAAAATAAAATAGTGAGAATAATGGAGTGACTAAATATATACTTTAACCTTTATTTTATTTATTTTAATCATAAGTCCAAACTCTTAAACCTTAAATTCTAAACTATAATATATAAACCCAAAATTTAAATCTAAGGTGTTGGAACTTTAAAATCTTAAATCTAAAATAATACAAATAACATTCAAATAGGTAATGTAACACCTCCAACCCGGATCCGACCCGGATCTGAGTCCGAAGTGTCACATTGACTTTTCAAAAATCCTTTACTTGTATAAAATAGTGAGTAATTAAAATTCATTATTACATATAACTTATTTAAAACCTTTATCGAACTATTCAGAGCTTATACAATATATTATTTTGAATACATGCCAACTAGAACTTTATGTATTAAAATACATATTATTCACCTTTCTTCTGATCTGACCTTTGGTAAGGATAACTGACCTGTCTTGCTCCACATTGCTCTTTATTCTTCTCACTTCGGTAACCTACGTGTGAAATAATCACACGTTAAGTCGATGACTTAGTGAGGCAATAAACATAAAATATAACTATAGCTTGTAATCATGCATGAACAATTACTACTATCACTCATACCCTTATTCATGTAACAAATCCCTATAACACATATGCAATATATATCATTACATATAAAAACATATGCACACATATATTCATCACTCATCATTTCCATCATTAGCCTTATTTCATTATCAATATTATTATCGTTTATATCACTTAATACATATCCTCTTATACCTAGCATTTTAACCAACATTTGCCTCATTTAATCATACAATCCACATATCATCATATAAATCATATAATACCATTCATATCACAAAAGCATACAAATCACATGTAATATATTTGTTGTTTTTCTTATTAGCCAATGTACACATGTGAGAACTATAGATATATGAGTCTATAGAGGTTGTGCACTAATGTTGTCACCACATCTCATATAAATGCACCGAAGTGTCACGTAGAATTGCACCGTAGTGCCGCGTAGATATGCACCAAAGTGACATATAAGGTTGTCCCTAAGGACCACATATCATTCCTTAAGAATCATATACATATGCCAAGGATCAAGTATGTGTCTCAAAAGACCTCACACATGTTCCAAAGAATACATATATGTCCCGAAGGACCGCGTAAACCCTCGACTATTGGCATGCCAACTATACCCTAGCTCTCATTACACATAACATGGGCATCATCATTTATGTCATTTCACATTTTCACATAAACACGTAGTTCACTTTCACATAGCACGTAGATTATGTCACATAAGTTGAATCACATATATTTATAAACACGTAAATCACTTTCACATATCACGTAGGTCATATTCATTTTTCATACTATTTCACATTTCTTGTCACATTGCTTATATCTTATTTTTATGTCTTATCCTATATATATATATATATATATATATATATATATATATATATATATATATATATATATATATTCACATGTTCATATAATTCATCATTTCATCATCTAAATGTGTATTCATATAACTCATCTTCCTATATATATATATCATTTTTCCTATGCTTGTATTCACATCATTTATATTCTCCTTCTCATAATCTCATATGTCATGATTAATAGCTTATATCATATATGTCTAAAATAACTTATCTCATATCATATAGCTTATACCTCATTCTATGATATTCACCTAGATCATATCACATCTGTCACACTCATAAACATATGTCACTTCTATTATTTCATTTATATATTAATCTAATCTATTTACCTAATTCAATTCATATAGTACCTATAACTTTCTAATATGATTATGTAGATTTCCATCATACAACCCATATATCATAATTTTATTTAAGCATATGTATATTTCCCATCTAACTCATCTTATATGTTCCTATTATCACTTATGTTCAAGTCTCATATCATCATATATGTCAATATTATCTATCTTGTTTCAATTCTCATTCAATGATATAATTTTATTTTACTATTTCACATAAATGTTCATACCACTATTCACTTACCCAACTCACATTCTTATTGTTTATATAACCTTTACACTTAAGTATTTCATTCCCATCATTTCTTCTAAACTCGCTTTTTACCATATTCCCATATTAT